ATAATCCATAATAACGCTTCCTCCAGTGAAAAAGTGCATCTGCTCACATATTTGTTTAGAGCTGTTTTGGCTGTTTAAACGCTGCTTGATCTGTGCAGATTTCTCTCCTGATTCACACCAGAACACTTAGTCACTGCAGGAAGCGTTATTATGGATTATGGATTTTAGTTAAAAACGTCTTGATGGATTTGTTTCATCTTTTGTCTTCTCCAGATGTGAACTGATGGACTGGAGTGCTGTGGATTACTTGTGGATTATTGTGATGTTTTTATCAGCTGTTTGGACTCTCATTCTGACGGCACCCATTCACTGCAGAGCATCCATTGCTGAGACATTTCTCCAAATCTGATGAAGAAACAAAGTCATCCTAATCTCGGATAGCCTGAGGGAGAGCACATTCTTGGCACATTTTCATTTTTGGGTGAGCTATTCCTTTCAAAGACAAACATGATGGGTTGTGTCGGCTCCACTCACCTGAAACATCTCTGGCTGGATGTTTTGAGGCTGCTGGTGTGTGTCTGCAGTGCCTTGTATGTGTGGCTGAGTTTGCCACTGCTGCCAGCCTGACACTCCCTCTGCTGGCCTGGAGCTGAACTGCGCTCCCATCTGATTAACATCGCCTGAACGAAAGCGCAAGAGCAAAACTGAGCACTGGAACAGGAAACACTGTTCACTATTAAAAACATTCTTTAAAATATTCACCGAATCCATTAGTTGAAGGGTTGTTGTGACTGTTTATTTGTTGGTAATTTGATGTGTCGGCCATTGAAGCAGAAGCCCCGCCCATCTGGCCAAAGGAAGAGGAAGTGGAGGATGTAGGGGCGGAGCTGAAACTTCTCATGTTAAACTGAGCTGACTGACTCTTTCCAACGTGACCTGCCATCTGCTGGACAAAGAGAGTTCTTACAACAAAAATCACATTCTTTATCGTGAAAGAATCAGTTATGCACCTACAAAATTATGGAATAATCAACATGCTATGATTTTGAAGACGTTTTTTTTTTATGCTCAGCAAGGCTGCATTTATTTGATCAAAAATACAGTAAAAACAGTAATATTATGAAATATTATTCCAATTTAAAACAGCTGTTTTCTATGTGAATATCTGTTAAACTGTAATTTATTTCTGTGATGCGCAGCTGTATTTTCAGCATCATTACTCCAGTCTTCAGTGTCACATGATCTTCAGAAATCATAATAATATGCTGATTTGCTGCTCGAGAAACAAAGAAAAAAGCTTTTATTCAGCAAGGACACATTCAATTGATCAAACATAACATTAAATAAATTTGTGACATTACAAAACATTTCTATTTCAGTAAATTAGTTAATTGAACTATTTCGCATGAATAATTTACATTTTCAAACATATATAAATAGAAAACACTTATTTTAAATTGCAATAATATTTCACAATATTATGTTTGATTAAAAAAAAATGCAGCCTTTGTGAGCAGAAGAGGCTTCTTTCAAAAACATTAAACAATCTTAGGCTGATGATACACTGGGCAACTCTTTTTGAACAATGTTGCTTGGGCACTTTTCCATTGAGAATGAGTAACACATTTATATCTGGATAGTTTCGATGGGTCATGGGCAGATTGGGCACTGTGTCTCACCTGGTTGCCCTTTGATGGCAACATTGCCCAAAGTTGCCCAGTGTATCATCAGTCTTACAGACAGTCTTAATTTTGACAGCAAATTTTTATTTAGTTTTAGTCAATAGTCTTTTGACTAAAATGCCATTTAGTTTTAGTCATATTTTAGTCATCTGAATTGTTTTTAGTTTTAGTCGACTAAATATCATAACTAAATATGTTATATGTTACATAAATAAATCTACGGCTAAAATCTAATGGGTTTAGTTACAGTGCATTTATGCATTTCTCTAAAATTTCCAAACTCATGATTTTGCTTTTGTTTGTTTGTTTGTTTGTTTGCAGTCTTAATTTTGACAGCAAATTTTGATTTAGTCTTAGTCATAGTCTTTTGACTAAAATGCCATTTAGTTTTAGTCATATTTTAGTCATCTGAATTGTTTTTAGTTTTAGTCGACTAAATATCATAACTAAATATGTTATATGTTACATAAATAAATCTACGGCTAAAATCTAACGGGTTTAGTTACAGTGCATTTATGCATTTCTCTAAAATTTCCAAACTCATTAACTTCACACACATTTCACTTTTATATGAGAAAAGCTATTGTCAAATACAAACTGAAATTTAAAGGTCTTTACAACAAACTGCCAAAAATAAAAGGTCTGTTTAACTACAAACTTAAGAAAGTATGACAGAAATATAGTTCTACTGTACAGCAAAAAGTACTTCTCAATAATGACAATGTTAATAACAATAACACAGTGTAAAAAAACACTGTTTTATACATATCAATTTGCAGCAGGTGTATGATTGGCCCTGTTTAAAAGTTAGCAAACAACCAGGGTTTTCAAAATTTTTTATTTTTTTTCGAAAAGCTCAGGAGGGTTAATTCATTGTTTTGAGTTCATTCAATGCTGTTACTTTTCACTGCTATTATTTTATTTAGATCTATTTTTCAATCTGCCAATCAACCCTGTGCACTGAAACAACACACGGTTTGATGTTTTCGTTTGAGCACTACTGAGCCAGGGGTGTAGCAGAGTTACATTTTGTCACTGTATGTCAAAGAACATGTTAAAAACTTGGGTGCTTATATTGATAGCTCCCTGAAGTTGAACACCGAGATCAATCATGTGGTAAAGTTTTTTTATTTGAGAAATCTGGCCAAGATGAAATCATGTCTGACATTCAAGAGTCCTGAAATTGCAATCCATGCTCTAATATTATCAAGACTTGATTACTGTTATACAAGAGTATTAGTCAAGTATCTATCCTACAGTTGCAGAAGGTACAAAATGTTGTCGCAAGGCTGTTATTCAATATTAAAAAGCGTGAACTAGGGATGCACCGAAATGAAAATTCTTGGCCGAAGCCGAAACCGAACAAAATTAAACACTGGGCCGAAGGCCGAATACCGAACACTGTTTTTCGAGTTTTTTTCCCCATGTATTTTGCCAATTTTTTTCCCACCATTGCATAAATTAAAAAGCCAAAATGTGCTTTTTACTGTTTTGTCTTGCTTTTCAAAAAAAAAAAATCAATTACAAAACAACAATTTTAAAATATTTAACACTGAACATTTTTTACATTCTAGCAGACACTATACCAACAAAGCACAATGTAACTTAAAATTAATTAGTAAAATAATAATTTTTGGCCATCAGACCCCCTTCTTGAATCAGGCATGTATTAATATTATAATTTTTTTTTTTTACTGTACAATTAAAAGCAGCCTTGCTGAGAAGAGACTTCTTTTAAAACATTAGAAAATATTACAGATCCTAATTTGAACACTATGTGTGAATGTTATAATAAATGTATTAAAACAGAGCTGTTGTAATGATTATTATCATTATTATGGTCTTACTTTTTATTTTATTTTACAGAACAACAGTAAAATTACAATACTAACATTTATGAATGTTGATAAGAGTTTAAATGCTTCCACACTGCTGACGTGTGTGCTGCATAATAAAGAGTGCGAGCCTCTTACTCTGCGCTGGTTGCTATTTGATCGCGTCATATCATTATTCGGTACAATTTATTCGGTCTTTTCGCTTATTATAACCGAATAATTTCGGTTGCCTAACATACGGTGCATCCCTAGCGTGAACACATTACTCTGTCTTTGTTTCTCTACACTGGCTTCCGGTACAGTATAGGATTGTTTTGAAGCTTTGTTTATTAGTGTATAAGTCTTTGCATGGCCTTGCACCGACCTATCTATCAGAGTTGCTAATTGAGCATCAGAGTATCAGAGAAAATGTATAATTTTATTCACCCCCCGGAGCCATGTGAGGCACGTTTCATTACGGATGCACGCACTTTATTTCACGTCTCTTGGACTGTTGAACAGAAACACCCACCCACTGCAATGATAGAGCTTGGAATAGCCAGAACAATTTTTAATATAACTCCGATTGGATTCGTCTGAAAGAAGAAAGTCATATAGACCTAGGATGGCTCGAGGGTGAGTAAATAACAGGCTAATTTTCATTTTTGGGTGAACTAACCCTTTAAGCCAGAAAGGAGACCGCGTGTTTGCGGCAGTGTGCCAAGTCTGTGGAATAGCTTACCTTTACATGCTGACTCTGTACAGGTTTTTAAAGTACATCTAAAGACATATTTGTTTGCCATGGCGTATTTTTCTTGCTCATATTTTTTAGCATTACTATTATAGTTGTTTTAGGTGATGTTCTCTTTGTTTATTTAATTTTTATATCGGCACATTGGTCAACGTGTTGTTTTAATAGTGCTATATAAATACATCTGATATTGACATTAACACTACTGGTGTAGAGAGGAAGTGTGTGAGTTCAGGTGTGTTTACCTGAGGGAGAGTGACCTGACTGGTTTCAAACGCTGCGTCTCGTCCCATCCCTTCGTCTAACTCGGCCTGCTGCTGCTGCATCTGCCTGCAGAAGAGCAAACCACACTGATGTGAGTGCGGTCCTACAGTCGTGACCGTCAGACCCACCACCGCCAACCACAGACACCACAGCTACCTACGGGAAGAGAGCATGCTGTTAACCCACCACCGACCGACCGACAGCAGCAGACGGGACGGAAAGAGGCTCACCCGAGAGAGCAGAGGAGAAAGAAAGACCCAGTGCGCCATTGGTCTGCTCTCACCTGGCTGTGACCTGCCCTGGGCTGGGGGTGGAGGGGCAGTTAGGACTGCTCTGCCCCAGTGAAGGGGGCAGTGAAACCCCTGGGGAAGAGAGGGGGGACAGGGAGTCCTGATTTGGCCCTCTACTGTCACGCAAACCGGAGGGATTGGTGGAGAGAAAGCGGTCAGATTAAAATTCACATAGAAAACAGCTGTTTTAAACAGTAATAATATTTCACAATATTAGTGTTTTTACTGTATTTTTGATCAAATAAATGCAACTTTGATGAGCAGAAGAGACTTCTTTCAAGCAAAAAATCTTAGTGACCCAAATGGAAATGAAATCTGCATTACACTGAAGAGAATCAGGGAGTTAGATATGCTAAATTGTCATGAAATGTCATATTTCACAATGTCACAATACAATTATCAGCTTCTTAATTTATATATTCTTCTTTTCTATATAATTTCCTCTTTTTATTAATATTTTGGGGTGAAATAAGTCCCACACATTTTCTTGACATACACACACGCCTTCAAACAAACTGAACTACATTTGATTACATCCACAGGAATTAACCTTTGATCATAAAAGCATATGATACACTGCATAAAGTCACACTAGGTTAGACAACACTGAGGCCTAAACAACCTGAGAGTATTAAACAGTGACCCCAAAAAGTCTTTCAATACTGAAGTTGCAATGTAAGCAGCATTAACTTGCATCAGATAACAAAATATCAAAGCAAACACCTTTTGCTGTGAAGTCAGTATGGGATCCTGTGATGCATTTCAGTACTAACTTGACATTGGCGTTGGTGCAGATGATGTACTCGATCTCTTCAGAGAAAGGGTTCTGGAAGGTGAACGAGCTGGTTCTCATCCAGATCCACTCGTGGGATTTAGAGCGGAACCGGAACATCACCGAGAGTACCTGACCTCGCAGTTTAACCACCTGCATCAGGGGTCAGAGGTCATTAATACATCACACTGTTATGAAAACAACAGGACCAGATCTACATTCTGATCAAATCACTGGGTGGACTTGGGCTAAAAAGTGGCGCTGGACTTTTTGGACATAGAGCAGCCCACCATAAACCCACCAGCTCATTAGAGCTATTTTTAACACCACTTACTAACATACAAATGTAACACAATAGAGAAATAAAAATGCTTTTTAAAATTATTATCATTAACATTAATGCATGACCGTCATACTTGTTTACATTATAATTCGTCTTTCCTGGTGTATATGGCAATTTGTAAATAATATTTTTACACATCTCTTTTACATAGAGGGATAGTTTAATATCACTCAAGTTAAATGCCTACCATAATATCAGTCCATATAACAATGCTCTGCTCTAGAAGACTTGGAATGTAGTGCAGAATGTAGACTGTTTTTATTGTGCCTTTCTTTACATTTAAACATTAAACCATTAAAATATCTTTAATAGAAAAATAGAACTTTCCTAATCACGGCACTTGAAAGCGAAAGTCTTCAGGATTTACAAACTTCTAGAATAAGTTTGAGAATTATATTTTTACAGTTTTTTGACATTTTCTTAGACACGTGAAATTACGGAAGAAATGTAACGGCATACAAACATTCACTGTTATCTTATGTCTGCTGAAAACGGCTACGTTAATGTGGCAAATAATGTAAATGGCATTAAAATCTAAGAAATTTGAAAAGGCCAGTAGTAGTTTGCATCCCTGAAAATGAATGTCTGTTTGACATTTTTTGTAAACAGTTGGCAAATATTGAACATATAAACATCTTACCTCAGCTCAGCTTTTGTGAACAGTAAATCCCGCCTTCTACGATTTGATTGGCTAAAACATTTTGACATTGACGAGCGCTTTTGAGCCGCTGCACTAAGCCAGAGCGTGCTAAATTAATTAATTAGAATGTTTGACTTAAGTGGGCTGCGCGGGCCATTCGTATGGGCCGATGGACAGATATAGGCTACATACATTTACTATAATTCATTCTTTATATTTACGCAACTGGCTGGCCCACAGCGGCCCACCGGGAAAACTCCCGGTGCTCCAGATGGCCAGTCCGCCACGGCATGATCATATAGCCTATTATATGTTAATGTGTCAATTTACCTGGCAACCACCATATTGTGATGATTGATACATTTAAATATGTATTAAACATTGGTGTAATATTGTTATTGCTGTCATTTTATAAAGGCAAAAAGCCCCAAAAGGACTATTTCTAGTCATGGACACTACATAAAATTATATGAAATTTTTCTTACAATAACTTTGGTAACGGTGTCATGTAGATGCACACACACACCTGCTGAAGGCTGTCTCGCAGTAAGCCCTGGTCTTCTGGATGTGCAAACTCCAGAACGTTCTTCCCCAGTAACTCCTGTGTCACACAACAATACAAAAGATGGAAAACACTGCAACACTAGTGATGCACCCAAATGAATAAAAAGTAAAGTTTTAATTTAACTGAGAAAAATTAAACCAAAAATGAACTTTTTTTAATGATCAATTAACTAATCAAATTTATTTAATAATCAGTACTCAAATAAAACTGAGTTATGTATAAACGTTTACATTTTAATCATAGAAAATTTTCATATAAACATTTAAACGGTGACTAAGTAAAAACTTTTTTTCATGATCTCATGATTTATTTAAACATACATTAAATAATGAGGACTACAGGTTAAGTAAAATATAATGATATGTAATGCAGTGCATGTACTTATCAAAATGCTCCTCTAGTTAATTGTTTATTTCAACACCTTCTGATGTTCAATCATGTTTATTTTGAGCTATAACTAGTAGTAAAGAGGAACAGATGATCAGTTCACGCGCCACTTGAACTGAAGCTACAGCGATCTCACATTGAACAGCATCAAAACCACATTTATTGTTTGTATTTTGTAATAAAATTGATAGACTTTGAACGATCAGATTGTGTTTTACATCAAAAGTAACAAAACTTACTGTAATTACTGCATGGTAAGAGCACTACAAATAGGGATACACCGAAACCTGTATTTTCATGCATGTGGAATTAAAAAAAAAATACTGGGTACCGAAACCAAAAGAATACGTAAAATGTTAGTTGGCTTAGTTCATTTAGCAAATAGATATTTCCTTCAGTTATATTCTCACTAAATTATGCCCATTAAAATGTATTTTACAAGCTTTTGTTACACTGTTCATTTTTTTTGCTCTATGGTATTTCATCTTTAAATGAATAGCACATTAGAGCTGCTCCACTGCAGCGGCTCAGTACTGTAATCACAAGACGTTTTTCTGTAATAATGCAAGACACCACTCTTTATCCTATAGCCTATAAATCTTGTAACAGTGATGAACATATTTTCTGAAACTTAAGTCGCATTATTTTACACTGATCTATAATAGAGATATATATAGATTAGGCCTGCCCTCAACTAAAGATTCTTCTGGTCGAGTAGTAGTCGTTTATTTTAAGCATAAGTCGACTAATCGCACATTTATTAATAAACCATTTAAATCATTATAAGGAGCCTTTAATTGCCTATATAGCCTAATAGGCGCTAGAGCACATGCATAAAGCTTGCAACAGCACACCGGCAGAAGTAATAATTATAAATGTGTCATGGAAAAACAGTAAGGAGGCTGCATTAACATTTTAATAATGTATTGATAAACTAGTGCTTTCTTTGTTTTCGTTTTGAGAGATGAAGTCGGCGACACTGACTCGTGCCTGTATGCATGTTTCATACGGATTACAAAATCTGAGAATATCTGTTTTCCATTTGAATTGGTTCATTTGATAGTAGACATTTTGCTCTGTCTATGTTTTCATATTTGTAAGGCAAGCAGGCTATACACGGAGCTTCAGAGTTTCGCGCTCGAGTTCACAGAGACCGAGACGGCAGAAAGCGCATCCTGTTTGCTTTCATTATTTTACAAAAGCGCAATGTTTTGTTGTTGTTGTGAGTGCACACAAATAAACGTAGTGTCTTTACAGATTCAAAAGATGTATTACTTTTATCTGTATGACCAGAAATGAGGGAGTATTTTAAGAGCAAGTGAGCGCAGCGGCGCCTCCATCTGTCCCGCAGTGAGCGTGCTACTGTTGAGCATTTCTCTAGGATAACATCAGATTGAGTGGCCATGTAAAGTTGCTAATACTTACATATTTCAGATGATAAGCCATATTTGAGGTCGATGAATGATAGGCGAGCGTTTGGATGTCCTGCGCAAGTACTGTATTACCACAAAGACCAGACGTTAATGATCTGTCCATCTCAGACTGCGTGACTTCGCCTGTGGATTTTTTTTTTCTGCGACTAAGCGACTAATAACATTTTGGTCGACTAAGCCTCTTCTGGTTGACTAACGGTTGGTCGACTATTAGGGGGCAGCCCTAATATAGATCGATGCTTTTTATCATCTGAAACCTGCTGCGACTTATATTCCAAAGCGACTCATATAATGCAGGCTGAAACCAAAATGTTGGTGCATCACTATGCAAGACAGTGGAACTCATCAGCTAATGCAGAGCCAACTTAAAACATCCTGCTCTTCAGAAATGACCTCCTTTAGCCGGAGATCCAGCCTGACTCGGGCGTTTGAGGCCTACCTGAGGCTGGTAGCCAATCGTCGCCTGACAGCGGTGATCCACAAAGGTGTAGAGACCCTGACAGTTGTGGCGGGAAATAAATTCCACTGGAACGCTTATGTTATTTATGTTTGTGTCGCTCGGGCAACCTGTGACCTGCATGACAACAGAGGATCTTAAAGAGACAGTTCACCCAAAAATGAAAATTCTGTCATCAATTACTCATTCTTAACATGCTGTTCCATTCCTGTATGACTGCTGTTCATGTTTGAAACTCGCATGAGAGATTTCTCTTCCGCCATAAAAGTCTACACAACCAATATTTTATGATTCATAAAGTTCATAACAACCATGTAAAGTGATCCATATGGATTGAGAGGTTTAGTCCAGGCTTTCCGAAGAGACACACTCACTTTATATGATGAACAGATCTGATTTATACACACACAAGAACAAACCTCATTGGTTCTCACGTGACAAACAAGCACATGTGAGCTTTCGTCTACCATATTTGATGAGCTCTGTGAATGTGCGCTGATCAACGTTTATATATGTAAATAAAAGTCAATTCTAAGTAAATGTCAATTATATGTAAATGTAAATTCAATCTGTTTACCATATAAAGCAATCATGTCTCTTCAGGAGACTTGGATTATACAGCTTGATTAATATGGATTACTTTTACAATCTCTTCATGAATTTTTCAAATTGTCAAAGTTTTGGTGGAATGGACTTTCAATGGAGAGACAGAAATCTCTCATGTTTCATTAAAAATATCTTCAATTGTGTTTCAAAGATGAACAAAAGTCATACAGGTTTGGAATGACTGAATGAAAACTGGAACAGTTTATTGAACCCATAAAAGAAAAATGTTGAGTATCATATTTGATCTGTAAGGCGTTTAAGGCTTATATAGTATGATATATAGCGGAAAATATTGATGAAAAACCAGCTCATTTTTATTCAGAGGCCCAAAAAAGAGCAAAAATATGCAATTTAGTGCAATTAGAGTATAGCAGATACTTATGCAAAAAGATATAAATATCAGTCGTCACTCTATATCTGCCATTAATGTCTTAGTAAGATGATATATAAATTATCAAAACATAATTCAATGCAACACGATGATTGAGAGATAAATAAATAAACATTCCTCAAAAGCCTGATGATCATATGTGACAGAATTTCATTACACCTTTAAGTTGTTGGTCATAAATCAGATATTTAAAGAATCACAGTTAATTAAAAAGTGAACATTATATTCTCATTTATTCACCCTAATGTCTTTCCAAACCCTTATGTCTTCTCTTGATGTTCAGTAGAATGTCGATGTTGCTCTTTTTACAAACGATTAAAGGTAGAGAGCAGACATGAACTTGCCCTTTTAGAAAGATGAGATTACATGAGTAAATGATGACAGAATTGTGCAAACTATTCCTTTGAATGTGACGCAAATCTAAAACACTGGAAAGTGAAATAAAATGGAAGGGGAAAAGTACCTGTAGCCTTCCAATGACGACTAGACAGAAACGATTTCCCTGATTATTATCGGCCTCCTCTTCAGAAAGAGTCACTCCTGAGAGAGAAGGTAAAGGGACAGTATGCGTCTCAGTTGCGTTCTATAGTCTATATGAACAATAGACACCTCCTCTGTGTTGTGCTGTGGACGGTGTTACCTGCAGGAGGCCAGGATTTGATGAAGCCTGTGCAGTGCACGACTGCATACTGCGGCTCGCCCTCCTTTTGAGAACCCAGTCCATTCCTGCAGGAGGAGAGATGGTCTTCATCTGCGTCTGTTTAAAGACTGATATATGTATATACAGAGAGAGAGAGCTGCCGTACCTGTTTCTGCTTCTCAGGAAGTTGAGTCTGTTCATGGACACCGGCTCTACGGGACACACTCCACATCTGGACACAGAGGGGAACACACATTACAATCCACATAATGCAGAAATATTTCACAACATGCGAACATAATTGAAGACTTTTAATACTTTTTCTGAAAAACATATTTTTTTGTGTATGCAAACAGCATATTCCTTTTTAATTTTAAGCAGTTTTAGAGAAAAATTTTTTTTTTTTTTAAACTGGAACCGTTTATTGAACCTTTAGACAAAATAAAAAAAATAAAAAAAAAATCTGAGTGTTATCTGTTTTGACACATCAGGCTATTATGGCTCATATAGTCTGATATAGTGAGAATGTGAAGGAAAAAAAAGCTCAATTTTATTTAAGGACCCAAACTGAGCAGAAATATGCAATTTGGTGCAGATGCTGATATTTACATGGACAAAAAGTAAGATGAAATTCTGATGTAAATCAATGAGATCTTTAGAACAGTGCAGCAGATACTGACATAAAAAGATATAAACATCAGTCGACTCGTCACTCTATATCTCCAATAATACGTCTTAGTAAGATGAGATTTAAATGATCCAAACATATAATGCAATGCTGATTGAGAGCTGAAGAAATAAAGGCTCCTCAGAAGATGTGAGATGTTCTGGAGGCTTGTGAAGATCATTCCTCCGCTGAGGAACAGTGAAAGTAAAGCTGCTGGAAACAAACGCTCCTCAAAAGATCCTGAGGATCAGATTTGAGACTCTAAAACATGATTGATGGAGAATCAAGTGAAGCCGAGCTGCTTCAGTCCAGTATTACTAACAATATCAAAGTTACTTACGTTAATTTATAAAAATCAGTAAAGATTTCACAGCATAAAGACACGTGAAGCACGAGCTAAAGGTGGACTTGGTTCAGTTATTATAGGTCTGTTGGTTTGTTCTTCCTGTTCCTCACCTCATCCTGCAGATGAAGGAGCGGCGTGCTCCCATACTCATCCTCACAGAGGCCTGCCCACCCTCTTTCTTCACCGTGCCTGTTTTCATGTCCAACATCCGGCCTACAGTCAGAACAGAGGAAGATGAGTTAAACAGAAAAAGACTGTCAGCACGCAGGGTGACAGCGATAAGAGTCGTTTCTCACCGGCGTTACTGTTCTCGCTGGTGGAGAGCTGCTCTCTGAGTTTCTCTGTGTCCTCTGGATGGAGCTGGTCGTACAGCGATGATCCGAGCCAATCCGACTGAGCCTGGTTCAGAACCGGTGTGACAGAGTCCGACACATAAACCACACGGCCGGTTTCACACGACACTATGAACAGAAAGCCATCAGCCGCCTCCAGAACCAGGTGCTTCAGCTCCTACAGAGACAGAGAGAGAGATAAGAGCACATTTCGAGATGATGTTTAAAACACATTTTTAGATGAAAGTGTTAACTGAATTAAATCATGAAAATGATTCAGTTCTGGTATTTAAAAAAAAAAAAAGGTACCTGCTTCAAATTTACAAATATATTCTTAAAGAGGTCATCGGATGCCCATTTTCCACAAGTTGATATGATTCTTTAGGGTCTTAATGAAAAGTCTATAACATACTTTGGTTAAAATTTCTCAATGGTAGTGTAAAAAACACTTTTTTACCCTGTCAAAAACAGCTCCGGTCACAAGCCCGCCGGCCGTTCCTCTCTCTAGCCTTATCATACAAGGCAAAAATCCCTGATTAATCACAGTACATATAATGTTTTGCATTTTAAGTACAAACGAGGCATCATCAAATTAAATGTGCAATAATTTGCTTCAATTTCCAGCAGAGAAATCTGAAAACTGGATGAAGCCAGGTTCAAAATTCTTGGAAAAAATTGGATTTCTCTCCATAAATACTGTTAACAGCTATAAAAATAAATTTTTACCAATAAATAAAGAAATAAATCATGTATATATATATATGAAGGGTTTATTTGCAAAAACAGATAACTGTTTTTTTTTTCTTTTCAAAAATCATGTTTTTTTTTATTATGCTATCATGATTTTATTGTGTTAGCTGTATTTTTAGTTATTTTTAACCTAATCAAAGTTATCTGATTTTGCAAATGAACTCTTCATATATATATATATATATATATACACACACACACATATATATATATATATGAATAAACCCCTGTGTAAAACCTATACATAGATATAGATAGGAATAAAACTGTAAAGTGCTGCTGAAGAGGAGAAAAACTCACAGCCTTTAAAGACACGCATTGTAATTGAAATCAAATGCAAAAAGATAAAGTGTAATAAAATAAATACTTAAATGTATATTTTTGCATGCTTCCACTAGTCTGAATGAAGTCATGTTATAAAACCAACATAGCTCTCAAAACTGACCAGTGCATGAAAAAACAATGTTTTGCCTTAAATGTGTCAAACAGCAGTAAGCTACTTTTTTCCTCACATGAACTCATATTTCATGCTTAATTCAGGGAGTGGCATTCAGTAATCATCTTGCAAATAAAAAGTTATAGTGCATATTTTGAGCATTCAATTCAGTGTAAAATTTTCTTTGGCAGTCCGATTAAATAATAAAATAATAATAGGGGAAGACAGAAATATTGTTTAAAATACACTTACAAAGCATTGGCTGATATAGCAATGTTGGCTGAATCAAATGCATGAGTTTGGGTCTGTTCAGCCAAACAAAGGCGGACGGGAAGAGTGTTTGGAAACCTCACTATGAATACCATAATGACAGCAGCACATGTACTCTGATTCTTGAGAACTCACAGAAGATCAGATGATCATATTTGTACTTTTCCCGCACTCTGATTTCCATCAGTCAATACCTGGCAAATCTGTCCTTGTCATTCGATCCGCCTCCATCATCATCATCATCATCACACCTGAGAAGCCAAAACGAGAAGAAGCATATGTTGTTGAACACAGTCATAAGACAGGCAGCTCGGCACAGTTCAAACCCGGCTCGAACCCTCGAGTCACACGTCATGACTAACCTGCACAATTTGCTTCCCTCGTCGTCGTCATAGTCCGAGCTGGAAACCAGGGAAATTCACATTAGTCAGTAATATTGCACAACTGCAAAACATTCCCGCAATTCTCCACCCACTCGAGAGACAGAACAAACAGAGCGAATCAAGTCAACCACAGACACTCAATAAACAAGCACACTATTGTTGGCCAAAACCAGAGTGTCATTCCTGTGAATTTGCCTCTGGAAAGCTACGGTTCACGTTCAGCTCTCTAGTCACGCATAGTGTATATCAAGGGACGGTTCACCCGCTCATCACACAAACCCCTGCGACTTTCATTCTTCCGTGCGACCCAAAAGAAGACATCAGGAGAATTGTTCACGCTGCTCTTCATCAACAAACAGTAACAGACAGCGTCAAGCTCCAAAAACGACACAAAGGGAGCATGATAAAGTGTCGTAAAATGTTTATTATTTCTAAGTCATGCACTCAGGAACAAAGTGTGCAAGTATTTATGGTGCTTTTGTCCTTTTTGGAGCTTGTAAGCCTCAGTCAAGTCATTTATTTTTAGCACTTTATACAACACAGACGGTTTCAAAGCATTCACATTAATAAACAGGAAAATAGCAGTGTTAATGTTGCAAAATGCTGCACTTATCAAACTGAAACAAGCTGTAAAGCAGCTCCACAGGAGACAAAAGTGTCCTTATTCTGCTCAAGTCAGTTCAATGTGTCGATTTCGCAGAAGTTAGTGTCATTATTCGGTTCAATTCAGCAGTCAAATTGATACGATTACTTAATATGTACCGTCTTCTAAACCACTGCCCATGTAATTCCACTTTATAGAAAAACCAGTTTGCACATTTCCCAAAAGATTTCCTTCTGAGCTCCACAGAATACAGCAATGAGAAAGTGAGGACAGCACCATGTTTTGACAACTGAGATCAACTGAACACTGCCAGAAGTGCTTTAATAATGTTTAGTGCTTTTATATCTGTGGTGTAGACGGCTCAGTCAGACCTTTTAATGTTTAAACTTGTGTTAATCTCAGTTGGCAGCTGGTTTAAATTTTTTATTTCTTAATTGTTCTAATTGTTTTATATTATTATGACTCTTTTTGTAGCACTTTGAGAATTTCTTTAAAATGTAAAGTGCTTTATAAATAAAATGTATTATTATTATTATTATTACTTACTAGAGGTGTCCCCGACTAAGGATTTTCACAGTCGAATTGAAATTTTTTCGAATCTTGCTGATATTCGACTGATAGTCGAATCATATGTTTTGGGGGCGGGGCAAAATACATTACCAAGAGAGACATTTCGACAGTCATAATTACATTAACACACAGGGAAAATGTGTAACGGACGCCTCGCAGATACAAACGGGGTAAATAATGTTTTATGTTTTGATTAAAAGATAGTTAACAT